ATCCTCTACCCTTCTGAGTTCACCAAGAGACATGTAATACATTCTCTTTTTCATACTTGAAAAAACGTTGTAGGGTGGGTTTATTTATTCTCAGCTCTACCTTTTTAGAGGGGGAATGAAAGGACACGTATCCCAGGAAGGTTGACAAAGCCTGTGAGCGTCGGTTGCCACGGCCGGAGTCACTCCATTCCACTCAGTGCGACGATTCCTGCGCATGCGCGAGCCGGCTCCAGCCTGGTGCCGGGGGCGGGGCCTGGAAGAGGCCACTCCCCGCTCCTACCTGGGCCTCCCTGACTCGGCTCCAGCGGCCTGCAGAGTTAAGGCCCCGACCTCCCTCGGTCTCTCCCACCAGGTCCTGGCCTATCCCCAGAGGCGAGTCAGTGCTGCCCTAGGTACTTTTTTTTGCCTTGTAACAGATACAGTGTTTTTGAATGACTGCTGCTGTGCTTCCTTGCGATAAGCTGGTTTCTGTTTGCTGAACCCTTCCACCTGGGAGAGGGCAGGAATCCACTCCGGAAGAGCGAGGATTTGGTGAAAGGGAGAAGACGAGGGGCGAGCCTGCCACCCTTCCTAGGACCTCAAGGAGAGGCGAGGATCCCGGCCGGCAGTGGGCGCGCGCACCGGTCAGGTTTTCTCTTTCGGGGCTGAGTGAGGACACACTGAGGCTGGGGCACAGGAGATCAGAGTAAGGTTTCCCACGAAGCTCTTGGTTCCCAAGAAGTGGGATCAGACCCAGAAGCTCCGGCAGGCAGATCGTGTGGACTGGGGCAGAAACTGGGTGGCTGACTGGAGATTCGGGGCCCGGATCCGAAGGGGGTAAGGGGCAGAACTGACAGCAGAGGCCTGACTGGCCCCACTGGCTGTGAAATAGGCTCGGAGGAGTGACGGTAGGAGAGCCCACTGGGCACTGACCAAGGCCCAAATTACTCCAGCAGCAGACTTCACCGAGTGGACGCGGGCATCACCCCGAGGCCCGGACCTCGCACCACCCAAGGAACTTTGATCACGGAGGCATCAGGAGGATATATAACCCTGCTCATTCTCTCAGAGCAAGAGGAGGAGGAGACTAAATGGGAGAGAATTTTATCTAAAGACATTATCTAGCTCAACCAGCTAAGGATTTTAATCAGCCCTACTGGGATGTTGAACTTTGAATGGACCAAATGTTTTCACTAAAACAAACCTGGGTAAATGGGAAGAAATGGAAATGCTGTGAAGGAACTAAATCGAGCTTTTCCTCTGATGCCTGAGAAATGAAGGGCAGGGTGGCCAAGGGAGGTGTACTTGTAAATGGGCAGTCAGGGAAAATGAACTCCAGGTTCCTTTGCACGTCTGAGTTGTGTGATTTTACAACCTTGCTGCATCCTATTTCCGCTGTGTTGTAGGAACTGAAAGACTGCCTGTGTTCCTTATTTATTTAAATTAAGTACATAATGAGTATTCATTACATATAAATTAGAAAAGACAGATGAAGAATAAGAAAAAATAATCCCAAATCACTCAACAGAGATAAGCACTGTTAACATTTTGTTGTATATGCTTTTGAATTTTCTTTTCATGCATATTGCTATGGTCTGAGTGTTTGTGTACCCCCAAAATTCATATGTTGAATCCTAACCCCTAAGGGGGGTGGTAGTAATAAGTGGAGTCTTTTGGAGATGATTAGCACATGAGGGCAGAGTTCTTATGAATGGAATTAGTTGAAAGATTGCCTTTAAAATTAAGCTGGCATTTGGGAGCTGGGGGTGCACATATAGCCCATGGATTTCAGGATGCTTAGCACTCTAGAGAAATTAATTGCAGCAAAAAGAATAACAGTTACCACATTGGTTACTATAGGTTTCTTTTATATGTGCAATTTAATACAAATTGGGTGAAAAGAGTATTCAAAAGGCAAAAAAAAAAAAAGCTACTCCCACATGATAATTGTCCATGGCTTTTCTGGACAAGCTTTAAAAACTATGTCTGTGTAGACCAACATCAATATTTAATCAAATTAAATGAACTCTTCTGAGACTCTATTCTAGGTAATAATCCTTTGTGTTTTTATAATAATCTAGAATTACCTTTTTTAGCTGGTTTGAAAAGTTAATCTTATGACCCAGGGGAACCCATTATCTCCATTCTATAAGTGAGAAAACTGAATACATGAGAAAAATAAGGAGCAAACCCAGGCCCTCCGAGTGCTAGCCCAGTGTTAATTTCACAACACCAGTGTTTTTCAGGGAGTTATTTCTGGAAACTTCTTCCTCCCAAAATACAGGATAGGATCAGCTACTCTCGTTCAAGTGGGAGTGATCCGGAGCCCAGGCCTCTCCCTCCCAGTCCTGTCTGGAGGTGTCTCTCCAGCACCACAGAGCTCTACCACAAACAAACTGAAAACCACTGCCTAATGCCACATTACTCCCAAACCACTTCAGCCTCCCCCATTTCCAGCCATCATTACTTGGTGTTGAAAACAGAGAGCCTGACATCAACTGGTGGGACAAGTAATTTTGGGCACAGAGTAAATCACAAAAATGGCAGTATGGTAAGAGGAAACATGCCAGCTGAATTTGAAGACATAGACGTGGTTTAATTTATCCTCCTACAATATACAATCATTACTGTCTGGACAAGTGCTTTGGGGTCAACTGATTGTTGAAATATGACTTTTCCATGATGCAAACATTCAGCTGCCCGGTCAGAACTCAGAGGCTACTGAGAATGATTCTCCTGGTGAAAACATCCTATACCCATTAAGGCTCTGTCTCCACATCTGAATGAGAAAGCAGGGGCGGTCACTCTACAAAAGGGGACAGCTCAAGACTGTCAACAGACCATTGCGAGCTGGTTTCATTCGCTCAGCCACATATGCCTCCATACAACTGTCCAGAGGATTACGCCAATGAGGAGAGGGCCTTTTGTCAGAAACCCTGCCCCAATCCAACTATTTTTAAAGCTGCCTAGAAAGACAGGTCTGACTGAAGCTCTGCACACATTCTGGTGACCCCAGTCCTGGACAAAGCACTTTTACAAAGAAGCTCTTTGTAAGAGACCTCTGTCCCACATTATGTATACCTCCTCTAAAAACATAATTTTAAAATGTTTCATCATAGTAATACATTCTCTAAGTTTAAAAAAAAATAGTAGAGAAGGGCTAATAATGAAAAGTAGTCCCCACTCCAAGAGGGAAAATTCTTTTTAACTATTTTAGTCATTTCTGTTTTTATTCTTAACAGTGATTGCCTCATGTCTTTAAATAATATGCTAACAGTGCTATTTCTTGAGGTAGCATTTTCTGAAGTTATCTGTTGTCTTCCTACTTGAAGGATGAAGATTTAGCTCACCTTTCCTCCTGCCAGCCTCTTTCCTCAATAATTATGTTCTTATTTTGAATTCCTTTCTTGGATACATTTATAATTTTAAATAAGCACCTTCATTTGTTATGTCAGCTACTGATATTATCTCTTTTCCCTCCATCTCTCTTGATTTACATTACTCAGCTTTGTCATCTGTCTTTTCACACTGTCAATGACCAGGACTTTTCCAGTCTGCTCTGAAACTGTAGTAAATCTTCAGGTTAATCTATACAGTTGAAACTAGGTTAGTATGTTTATTATAACAGTGTCAGATACTATTGGTTGCCTACCCAGCATCCATCCCCAACCTCACCTAACAGAACCTAACAAGACCTTGGTTTATTCAGGTGTCTGTCCACCGCCACATGGGAGGCCAACTCCATCTTCAGCCAGAGAGAGTGGATCCAGCAGAGCTAATTAGTGTTTCTCAAACTTAGATGTACATCAGAGTGAGCTGGGAGGCCTATTAAAGCACAGACTGTGGGGCTACATTCACAGATATTCTGACTCAGTAGGTCTGGGGTGAGGCCCCCAAAATGTGTGTGTATACCTCCAACAAGCTTCTGGATGATCCTGAATCTGCCAGTGTAAGGAACATGCTTTGAGAACCGCTGGTCTAAGTGAAGCAGAGCCATTTCAGTAACTAGGATGTTGCTCTGGCTGCCTTAATAGTGATCAAAATAAATGGACAGTTTATTTCTCTGTCACACAAATTTTAAAACTAGTAGGAGTGTGAGATAGTAGTTGGCTCAGCCTCATGTGAATGTCTTGGTCCCAGGTTCCTTCTACCTGTTGCTCTGTCATGCCCCTTAGGAACTGCCCTCATCTTCATGTTTGAAGCTGACTCACTGCCCCCAAACCTTCATGCTAGCAGAAGACAGGACATGAGGCAGTGGAGAGCACAACTTATTATAAAGGAATAATCCCGAAATTGCCCACATTATCTCCAGTTACATCCGGTTAGCCAGAACTTAGTCTCATGGCTACACCTAGGTGCAAGGGAGGCTGGGAAAGGCAGCTTCCTGCTCAGTGATTATGTATCCAGAGAAAGTTCAGGGGGTTCTAATACAAAAAGGAAGAAGAGAAAGGGTATCTAGAGGTAGTTAACCATCTCTGCTGCAATGGTTCCATTCTCCTCTCCAGCAATTACTTAGAGGTGCACATGACACAGTTAAAGCCAGTGAGACAGGAAAAGATGTCTTCTAAGGGCTTTCGGGAAAGTTTTCTTCTCTCCAAGAGAGACATAGTATATTCTTTGGGGTTCTGTCATGTTGGGTGTGAATGCTGAAAGAGCAGTAGGCATCTTGCCACCTTAAAGGGAGCCAGCCTTTGGACAAATCTTACAAAGTAAAGATGACACAGAAAAAGATGCAAAGAACCCATGTGTGTGATGATAGCCCAGAACCACAGAATTAGCTGGTCAGCCCCAAAGCTTTCCTGCCCATAGAGTCCTTGTTATGTTGGGTAATAAATTTATTATTTTTTAAGCCACACTGAATTGATTTTCCTGTTGCTTGCACCAAATCATCCTGATGAAAAGGGTGGTTTTCTCATTTCTTTCTTTTTATTTTTGCATTGTTGTTCTCTTTACCTCACCCTAAAATCTCAAAGTTAGTGTGAGATTTAAGAATACTCAGCCCTTTCTGTTTTGTTCCCCAGATGACATGTCCTGAGCCTGTTGCTTGCTGACTGCATCTGCTCTGCAGCCGCCACTCTGAGACTCCCCAGTGACCTTGTTGGAAACTGCTCTTTCCTGGACGCCAGTGTCTTTCCCTTGGTTTATTCCTTTGTCTTGCTGAGGCATATTGCCAGGTAACTTCCTAAGAAAGGATACGTGGGAAGTGAAATTTCTGCATCCTTGCATTTTGGGATCTGCAGGACATCTGACTTCCTCTCAGGTATGGCCTCTGTGCATCTATCAGGCTCAAATTGCCTCCTCTGTAGTTCTCTAGGTACCACTTCCTCTCTGTCTTCCAGAATTTATTGAACAGTTTATGTCACTGATGGTCCTTCCTTGTCTCTTGATTGCTCTTTGATTATAGCTCTTTATTTCTTTACTGTCATTTTAATGGGGCATCAGGAAGATCACATAAATATGCCATTCCTCATTTTGGAACCATTAGTTTTATCCCTTTTTAATAAGACTAATAAATCAGATTTTGAAACTGAGTCATTAGGTTAGGTACTTCACATTTCAGTACTTTATGAAAGAACTACGTCTTACTACATCTTACTTACATCCCCTGCCCCACAAAAAATTTTTTTAGTACATTCAAAATATAATTAGATAAGCAAACTTTGTATTTGCCTGGGGATTTTCACCCACCACATCTTCTGGGTGGGGTACTCCCTTCCGTGAGTGCTCTTCAAACTGCAGTCAAGGAACCAGAGTATCTACAACTGAACAAAACTGTAGAGCATATAATAGCAGTTGTTTATTTTCCATTAATTATGAAAAATTCCTTTTTAAAAACATTTTTGCCAAAATTATGACCAAACATCCAGGTCGCTAGAAATTTACAGTTCTAAAAGAAGTTCCTTTTTTTTTAAATTATTGTAAAGAAGGAAAAGAACTCTTAAATTCCATAAACACATGAAATAAACATAAGAAAAAGCCTGCGTCAACAAGTACAATGGAAAGAGTATGTAAACAAGTAAAATGACTGAATATTAATGGGCCACTTAAATGTGTTCATATGTAAGAGGTAACTTTCATATTTTTAATAGTTAAAGTCCTTACCAATCTTATGAAGATCTTTCTATCACATAGCTAAAGAAACAAACTAAAGAAATTACCTTGCATCAAGTGACACAGGAAAAAATTGGCTGAGTTGGGGTTAATTTCTACTTCTGCTAAACCCCAAAGTCTATGCCCTGTGCACTTCATCACCCTGTGTGAGAGGCCGGTGCATCCATTCTATCTGCTCTCATTTCCCAGGGCTGCTGCAGCTGGGAGGATTGAAAGAACAGAGATTTGCTGTCTCACAGTTCTGGAGGCTACAAGTCTGAAATACAAGGCTTCGCAGGGCCATACTCACTCAAAGGTTCTGGGAGAGAATCTGTCCATGCCTGTCTCTTAGCTTCTTGTGTCACAGGCAGTCCCTGGCGGCCCTCAGCTTGCAGCTGCGTTGCTGAGAGCTTGGCTTCTGTGATCACATGGCCTTCTCCCTGCACCTGTGACGTCACACTGATGCCGGGGTTCTTGCTTGCGGAGTCAAAGAATGAACTTAGAAAACACTCAAGGTAGGAGAGCACACTCAAGGTAGGAGAGCGAGGAAGAGGCTTTTATTTAGAGATACAGTGAGAGGACAGAGCTCCTGGCTCAAGTCAAGAGGGGACAAGAGAGCCCGGGGTCTTGCGTTGTCTAGGGGATTTATAGGCCGTTGAGGATTTTTGGGAACTGATGAAGGGCTTAGAGTGTGGACTTGCTAAACGTGGTCTTAGAATGTTTGTCCTTGATGAGACATTAAGTCCCTTTTAGCATGCTAAAGTGAATCTTACCCATGATTATAAACAATTAGCATAATAAAAACATGGGGTACTTTCCTTTATCTGGGGAGTATCAACTGATCTCACTGAAGAATGACTCTAGAGCTTAATGTTTAACACAGAGTTTTGGTAGAGGGTTTCCTTGCATGTAGTTAGATTGCTCTGACTGCAAATATCCTGCCTTGCTTTTTCCGGAGGCCCTCACCCTACTCTGACCACACCCACAGTCCCTGTTTCACATGGCTCTTTTGAGGATATTAATCATGATGGCTTAGAACCCCCCTGCTTCAGAATGACCTCATCTTAACTGATTATATTTTCAATGGCCCTATTTCCAAGTAGGTCACATTCTGAGGTCCTAGGAGTTGAGACTTCAACATATGTCTTTGGGGTGATACAACTCAACCCATAACACCATCTTGATTGGGTTTCCTTTTTTATAAAGGCTCTAGTTCAACCACTTCCTGATGAATAAAGGTATTGTTAGTGTAGGGGAGGAAAAATTGTCCTCTGCTCTTCAAAGGTCTAAGAATTAAGTTGGCCTGAGATAGATTAACAGGAAAAAATCAAATGTATTTATATTCATCTGGGGGCTCCGTAAGACCAGGAAGCTCACAGGCAGCCAGTTGAGGCTTATATGCCCTCCAGAGCTCAGGAGAGGGGTATGGGTCTGGACTTCAAAGGGAAGGAAGCTGACTCACAGGAAGATGAAAAAAGGCAAATGTTTGGTAAACAAATGTTGATTGGGCCAGAATTTTAACCAACAGATTTTGCTAAGTTCCTCCCTGTCTACCAACCTAGATGGTATTATATTTAGTTATCTATGGTGATAACTGCCATCCTGGAGCAGGTTCTCTATCTAAATTCTTTTAGGCAGGTAGGGGGAAGGTCAAAGGTTGTTTCAGAGCCTTCTGGGTTTTCTGTTTGTTTGTTTTTGTTTTAAATGATCAGCCTAAAATAATCCACATGTTAAAGGGATGCATTTTGGGGTGGCAAATTTTGCTCCACCATGTTAGGTAAGAAATCTCAAAATAGGCTTAGCTTACACAAATACCAACAAAATGCTCTAAATAGATGGTAAAATTATTTTTGAAGGAAACCTGATATTTTTATCTTAGATCTATATTAGAATCATATTATTGAAATACTTCACCTCAATGTATGATTTTTGTTTGAGTTAAATTTTTTCATATGTCAACATATACCCAGGAGTTACCGCTTTCACATCACAAGTGATAGAACTACATTCACTCCTCAAAAAAGTCTTACCAGAAAGGATTTCTGTGTATCAAACAATGCATTGTGGTGAAAACTAGATCTTGTGAAAATGTAAAGATTGTCTTCAGCATACTGCCCTTTCTGTCAACTTTGAAGCATAACAATGGTTAAAGTAAGTTTGGTGCTCCTCTGAATGCTGAGTCTAATTATTGTCACTTAAATATTTACAGTATTATTGCTTTATTGCTGATGGTTCTTCCAGAAACATCTAGCTACCCATTATGACTTGATGTACCTGGTGTGTACTGAAGTTCTATTTCTTTCAATAGACAGTAGATTATATCAAAGATATAAATAAGACTGTTTCACAAATGCCAATAATCAAAGTTTGGTTTTGGTGATTAAGATACCTACTATGTTCTTTATAAAAATGATGTCTGCAGAATCTAATTCCACTGGCTGAAATAATGAGTCATCTACACTTTAGTAAAGGGCCCCTTTCAGGTGTCTAGAATCATCAACAAGGACAGAGTTGTGTTTGCAAAGAGCCACACATTTACATTGGGCTTGCAGAAATCATTTTTCTCATAGCTGCAGTTCTGTTGTTTCTGTGGTTTCATTTCCCTTAACTTATTATTGATCACCAACCCCCAACACAGAGACAGCTTTAGGGCCAGGCAATATCTTTTTCTGGTTATCCACATTAGTTCTCTAAATTCAGGACATATGGAAGTTCATTCATTTAACACAAGTAATCTGACTTCTTGCTGGGTCCTCCAGCCTTTGAGTGTTTCTGTGTGTGTGACTGGGGAGGGCATGTGACAGTGAGGGAGCACTGCTGTTTAAATAAAACCTACACAAACAGCCTGAAGTTCCTATCCTGCTTTCTGCAAGTGCAATTTACTCCCCAACAATTTCTGAGCATTCTTTGGGGTGGATGAGGGTCGCTTGTCCTATCCACACTTCCATTCTGGTTGTCACTTCTCACATCTGCTCCTATGGCAATTCACACCCACCTCTCCAAACCCCTACCGCTGCCCTAATCTCATCCACTCTTACACCATATGCAGGGCACTTTCTCATATTTCCCAAAGGATGTAAGGCAAGTTCACCATGTTTACCAGAATTTACCAAGGTTTGACGCTAACACAGGAACTATTTTGCAGAAAAAGGAAATTTAAACCTGGATTATCTATTATCACTGTTAGTGGCAACCATTGGCCACACCCTTTTAGTTGGGGTCCCCATGGGCCATCAGTTCTCTGTCCCCAGCCTACCACCCTCTTCTTGGGGCCCACTTCCTCTTTTTCAACTGCCTCACCTCCCCACCTTCAGGTAAAAGAAGCAGTGTAAGTCCAGACAAAGGAAATCCTGGGGCAAAATACCTCTAAAAACCGAAATCAGTCAAAGGGAGAAATAAAGTTTAAAATCCGTTTATTGCTCACAAACTGTAATCCGGGGCCATTTGTCTCTCATGCTGCAGCAGAAGCAAAACTGGCACCCCCCCTTCACCTCTCTGGTACAGAGAAGCCCTCCATTGCCCATTGATATGGAGATGAACTTCTCTCCACTCCTGAGGAATGATGTAAATGCACTAAAGCTATACTTCTCTCCACCCTTGAACACCTGTTGATATGCATATGTACTAAAGCCAGGCGAGATATTCTGGAAATGTTACAACTTTTTCCACATGCCACCCCTCCAGAAATATTTCCTTACAATTTACTCATTCCCCCTCTTACAACCAAACTAATGACTTACAGTAGCAACAGCAATAAATCTTGATAATCCTCAAGCCAGAGGATTCAGCCTTTGCAGATTAAGTAAATGTACTTTACAGCACAATCTCTCACTAAGCACAAAATATGTTTCTACACTTGTTTACTTATTCCTAACAACCATGCTAGATTGCTCACAAAATGTTTACCAAACATTAAACAAAGTCAAGCCTCTCTTTAAGCATTTTTTTTCTTGACAACAGCAACACAATCATGATAATTCTCAAGCCAGAGGAGTCATCTAGCTTCAAAGTCCTATGCAGATTAAGTCCAAAGCTCATCCATTCAAGCCATCACCTGGCAGCTGCAGCCAGGGGGCGCATCCAGGACACAAGGACTGTAGAAGCAAATAACCATGATTTGGGGGGGCCACTTTGCTGTTATTCCAGGAATACATGGGAGGCCAGCTTCCA